ATTCCTTTATCTCAGCTGTTTTGGGTGTCTCTCTGTTTCCAATAGAGTTTATTGCTGACTGTGAGTCCGAAAGTATCACCGCTTTGGTGAATTTCGTATCCAGGCAANTTGTAGTGCAAATATGTAGCCGGATCCTCATTGCTATAAATAAGTTCCAGAGTGTTGCTGTTTAGCATGTCTTCAATTTCCTTTCCAGCTATGTTTGTATCCTTGTAGCCCCATCTGGTGGAGTGGGCGTTGAAGTCTCCTAATACTATGGTTTTGTGTGAGATGTTCAGAAAGTCAAAGTTTGGACAATTCTGGGGAGGATTATAGACTGCATATATCTTGAATTGGTTTTGACATTTCCAAACATTTAATCTGATTATTTCACATTTGTCTTGTGTCGAGCCCATACACTTGATTAGGTCGTAGTGTGAGGTTAGGCCATCTTTTACTCCAGTTAGAATTCCACTTGCAACTTGCCGGTATTTAGGTAGATTGTATAGAGTGTAACCTGGGAATTGGTAATACTTCAGGTTGTCATCCGAAATGTTAGCTTCCATAATTGTGAAAATGTCTACATCATAGGTTTGCAGGATTTTCTGTATTTGGATCTTTTTGTCCGGAGACATTCCTCCAGCATTCCACTGGAGGATCTGAAGACATTGTGATTCGCCCTGACGAGGGCGATTTTTCTTATAGCTTTTTTCAAAGCTAATCATAATTAATCGAAGTCAAAAAAAACGTATGCCGATTGATAGACTTTTTTGCCGTAAGAAAATACGTTGTCCAGGGTGCACCACGAGGAGGTAAGTCTATCGCGCACCCCGGGAGAGGAACATCAAATCGAAAAAAAGTTGAGAGGGGAGGGTGAACAGAAGAGTGTTTTAAAGATGTAAAAGAGACAGACACAAAGGTAGAAAAAGGTGAGGTGAGTACTATGGAAGTAGTCGGATATGGCATAGAGTGAGGTGATGGTAGTTTGAAGTGAGAAGTCAACTGCCGGTTTATAGACTTTTTTGCCGCATGAGTATACGTTGCACTGGATGCACCACGTGGAGGTAAGTCTATCACACACCCAATTGTCAAATATTTAAAACGTTGATGTCACAATTTGTTTATTATTTTTAATCGAAATAGGCGCGGAAACACATAGAATCGATGGAAAATGAAAAAACGCAAATGAGTGGAAATACAACAGAGGAAAACCAACCGGGCACACCTCAATTCTCATGGAAGTCTTCGATACAAATGCATGAATCTCATATTTCACCGGTAAATGTACTTAGTTACTTTATAGATTTTCACTTAAAGGAGACAGGAACCTCTAAAGAGAAACGCATTTCAAACAAAAAGGCAACAGTCCGAATAGAATTTAAATCAACTGAAAACTGCCAAGTGAAATCAATTGACCAGGATGTAATTTGGAAATTTTAATGAGATAGGGTACTTACTTCGTCTCTTTTATACTTGCTTTCTTCTTAAGGAGATTTTCACGGGACCAGCATCGAGAAAAAGTCCAGTGATACCCAAGAGCAGGTTTGACCTCGGAATGAAGGTGGACAAAATTGTTGGATCAACAGTAGACAACGGAGAGATTCTTTTTCTCGCCACCTGGTATGAACCCTCCCACCCCACCCCAACTCCCCCCCC